AGTCTATACTCTTTTAGAAGAGATGGAAAAGCCAACCAAAGGCAAAAGTACTTGTGGTTAGTGTGAAAAGGTCTATGGGAAGAGCATTGAGGCTTGAGAGGGGTCCGTGGAAACCAAGATGCTGAACTGACTTTGAATAGTCAACTAAGGTGGGAGGCATAACCCAAGACTTAGGATGAGTACACAGGGGTTCTTGCAGCTAAAGCAGAGCATTAGGACTAACTCAAAAAGGAGAGCTGACTAAAATTTTTCTGACCCTGGGTAATTCCCATCAATGTTATAGAAAACACTATTACATAAAATTTATAAAATATACAAATTATCTGACAAACTTCAGGTTTCTCTCTCAGGTGAGTACCATAAATGTCAATTTCATAATAAATTAAGGTTGTTTTCATTTGTTTGATCTCTATTAAAGCCACTAGAAATGATTTATTGATTTTTTAAAAAATGTGTTTTAAATGCCACTGTTTTGTGAATAGATGTGGAGCCCTCATTTAGTTCCAGTACAATTGTATTTATAAAATGTTAACTGTTTTGAGAAAAATCAATAAAATAGTCAGAAAATATATGCAAAGATAATAAAGAGCAAAATAATGCCATACCATGAAGTCAGTTGTTACTTATTTTTAATGGTCAAAGTCTGCAACTTATTGCTCATCATCTGAATACCGATGTACCTTAAGGTTTTGTTTTGAGTTTCAATGCCATAAAACCTGAAGCTAATGCAAATATACAACAGAGGGATGGAGTTTAGAAACACAAAGCTAGCCAAGGCTTGCCACTAACTCATGTACTTTCCCTGAAACCATGTTGGACAGTGTATTCTTGCCCAGACTGCAGGTAGAAGTCTATCTGGACTCAGATGCCAGAGGGCATTTGTTCCTCACAATAAACTCTCATTTGCAGGAAGAGAATGACATTCATCTTGCCTTTCTTCCTCATTTGGTTAGCAGGAAGTCCCCAGATACCCTTGACCTAAGGTTTGGGTCATTTTCATATTCCACCTCTTTTAGAGCCTTTGAAAGAAACAACCTAAAACATCTGTGACCCTCAGGTATAAACTTTCCTATGAAGGTAGGGGAGCTAAAAAAAAAAAATAATGGATATTCTGATGAACTGTGCTTGTATGAAAACATAATTGTAACTGAATGTGCCAATGGACTTCCAAGTTCTCATTGTAGGACAGCTTATTTAGCTTTCTAGACATACACCTTACTCTAATATAACAATGTTATGTTATGAAGTGGCTTTACACTTCTACTTTGTAGCTGATTGAATAGGGCATGTAAGTACCTCAGGAGAAGTTATACACAGAGAGATTATTATTATTATCACAAAATCTTATTGTTAGGTTATATTACATAAATTTGCATAACATTACATCTTGGATATTATTGTTTACATAATGCTCCACAATGAATTAGTAAGTCCCAGCCAAGTGTTGTGATTTTTGTTACCAACTTTGCTTATGGGACCAAAGAAAGCATAGAAGAACTTGAAGGCCGAGCATTCTCTCCCTTATGCCTGGGGCAAATTGCCCCTGATGGCTGGAACTCATTACTGCTAACTGGTTACTAGAGAGTTGGGGTCATCAGGAGTCACTGCCTCTCAGCAGAGGAAACATTCCAGTGAAGCAGGACTAAAGACACTAAAAACAGGTTGAGACCAAATAAAACCTTGTTTTCTAGCATTTTATATGTTATATGTTTTAGAGAAACAAACATAAGACATCTTTGGTTGAACGTCTGGGACTCTAGTATATGATAAGTTAATTGTGCACAAACCTAACAAATGGCCTCATGAGAAGAGGAGTGAGAAGATCCAGAGTCACCCCGATAGCTCTACAAATGTTTTGGCTTCTCTAGATGAAGGGGTCAAACCTAGAGATTTTCAGTGGGTCACTAAGCTAAAAGACAACATGTATTTTTTTTGTTAAAATTCAGCTGAATTTGAGTATCTAATAGCATCTACTGGCATGTAGTGTTACGTGCTATGAATAATTTATTTACACATGGAGAAAAGAAAATGTGAGAGAGCTGTGGGTTTGTTGTTTATTTGTTTTTCTACCAACTAATCATAGATCTGGGTTCTTAGCAGTTGCTAAGAAATAGTCCTTTGTGACAATGCTCCTCCAAACTCTGGTCAGCTAGATGTGGACTTTGGCTAGTTTCTTTCTTTCTATTTGGGAAGTGAGAATGGATCTAGGTACAGGTATCCGTATGTTCCCATTTTGTCCTTTCAATTTGTGAGGAGTCAGAGAGAGTTTAAGTGTCTATGGGCAAAGCTCATCATGGTGACTGAAACCTGGTAGTGCTTTATAAGCTCTGGGGCTGCAGTCTGGGAAGATGGGCTCAATAGAGATAGCTCAGTAGATAAAGTGCCTGTTACACAAGCATATGGACCCAAGTTCATCCCCAGCGTCCACATAATGTTCAGGTACTATGTATGGTTCTTTATGGTGAGATTCTGTAACCCAACCCAGCACAGGGCAGGGCAGAGAAAGGGGGATACTGGAGGTTAGCTGACCAGACTGTCTAGCAGAAACAGGAGCTTCAGGTCCAGTGACAGATCCTATATCAAAAATAAGGTGACTACTAGTAAAGAAACTAGTCACCCAACATTGACTTTTGGCCTCTGCAAATGCATACCCACTGTGCATATGCCCTGTGCCCCCACACAAAGAACATCAACTCTGGATTAGTAATGGGGCTCCATCCCAGTCTTTCTAACCATACATTGTGTGACCTTGAATAAATTATTTGATCTCAGTGCCTCATTTTTTCAAACAACAGTGGCAAAGTCTGCCTCTTAGAGTTAAAACTGTAGAGTATTTTGAACAACTGTCTGATACATAGCAAACACCCATTAATGAACAGCTGCTATTGTTTTATTATTGTGTGATATGGGCAATGAATCTATGGGCTGGATTTTACTGTAACCCTGTTGTGACCATCTGTATGCATAATTAGTAAGGAAGGGTGGAGGGGCTCCTAAGGAACCCCGTGTGAGCGAGAAAGATGGTGTTTAAACCATTCCTCGGGGATTGATGTTTATGTCGCTCTTACGGCTCTTTAGGGAATAAAATTACCTCTGGCTTTCAGTGGCCTAATTCAATGTCTGACAACTTCTCTCGGTCGGGAAGTTATTCCTTCTGTGTGGCTTAATTACCTATTGTTACAGCTTCAGTTTGGGGTGAGAGAAAGGATAGCCCATCTGACTGTGCCATGAAGATGATTGACGGCTCCAGTGAATGCTACTGGGTCATACACAGATGCTTACTGTCAGTGGATTATTTTAGGGCTTGGTTCTATACAGTTGAGTGCAGTGTCCTCTAGCCAGGGTTCTGTTCTACTTGTATGAGAGCCCTTAGAATGGACTACAGAGAGGAGGAAGCAGTTAGGAGGAACTGGAATATTTGCTTCTGTGCTTCTACCCTGTGCAACCAGAGCATGTTTAGTCTCTCCGTATTTGCATGAGATTTTGCACAGAATACATCCTCAAGATAAAATAAGAGCAATTTGAAAAGCAGAAAGTGATGTCCCCAGCAATCCTCATGGCTTGATCTGTAACTTAGCAGCTGACTCTACTGTGCACTTCTCTTCTTCCTCATGTGGCCTGTTTGGACATGTTCGTGTGTATGTGTGTGTGTGTTTGTATCCATATATGAGTGCGGATGATGGGAGATGGAGGATGGCCAGGAAGAGTTACTGGGAGACTGCATTCATACACCCAGAACAGAATCATTGTGAAACTGGAAAAAAGGGAACGTCTAATTTGTTTGGGGAAATATTATATTCTTGAGCCATCTTCACATGGGTAGGCCCTGGGGGAAATGATAGGGACTTTTTAGCTCTATTACATAAAGTAGGTTGGCAGTGACTGGGGCCAAGGCCAGGAAGAGAAGCCTTTGACCTAATCAAAAATAGATCTGAAGGGATATCAACCTAAAGAAAGGGGTGAGCTTGACTGGGTACCAGAAGGTTTATACCAGTGGAGTGCTATGAAGAAAGAGCCTGGGAAGCCCCCTTTTCCTCTCCAAAGCCCAGCTTGGGCTTGTCACCATGACAAGCTTGCTCAGCCTCACTGAGCACTGCATCTTATCATCTCCAGTAGACAGCTAGTGCTGTCCTGACTTGTAAGGCCTGGCCTCTGAGGTGGTGGCCTTGGGATTTTTGAAGGTTCATCGGGAAACTCCTTCACTAGCTTGACTCCAGGATATGGTGTCAGCTCTTTCCTCCATGGAAGCAAAATGAAACTGTGTTCCTACCACCGGAGTCACATGCAAAACAGCAGATTTCTTCCCACAGTTGGTGCTCAACTCTAATGATGTAAATGTGTTGATGGTTTTTCCTGTGGGTCCAGTTATTCTGGTGGAGACAGTTAAGGTCACTCTGGGCAAAGTCTTGGTGGTGTATGATGTATTGTGCTACACACTTTACATCATTACTTAGCCTAATTCTTTGCAACCACCACAAACAGTTTAGTGGTAACTTCTTCATTGTACAGACAAGAAATCTGAGTCTTTGAGTTGATAGAACTAATTGATTCATGGATTCAGTGTTAGGGTCCATCTAAGACTGATTGTTTTGATATGAGATGGAACCCAATGCTACCCCATGCTGGCCACTAAAAAGACAGCCCCAAATCAGCTCTATGTGTAGCACATCTACCTTAAAAAAACAAACCATTTTCCCCACTTCTGCACCTGAAACCCCCAATCTCAATCTTCCCCAGCCTCTATCTCAAATATTTGCTAAGCCGGAAGCAATAGATTCCTTGAAATTATGCACTAACCACACAGTTTCATTTTTCTCCCTTGTTAAACACTGATGTCAGCAGAGTGCCCCTTGGTTGCTGAGTGATGCTTACTCTAAGTGCTCAGTACTTAGAGTACCTGAATTAATGAATGAGTGATGAATGGAGTTAGCAGATGGAGCAATGACCCTGTAGAGTGCTTACCTTTCTTTGTGCAAATACCTGATGTCCTGTCTTTCCAGGGTGGCATGATTGCTCTGCTGCTATCCATCTTGTGCCTGGTGATGATCCTGTACACTCGAAGGCGCTGGTGCAAACGTCGTCGGGTCCCCCAGCCCCAGAAGAGTGCCAGTGCAGAGGCAGCCAATGAGATTCACTACATTCCGTCTGTGCTGATTGGTGGCCATGGGCGAGAAAGCTTGCGTAATGCCCGTGTGCAGGGCCACAACTCCAGTGGCACCCTGAGCATCCGGGAGACACCCATCCTGGATGGCTATGAGTATGACATCACAGACCTGCGTCACCACCTGCAGAGGGAGTGCATGAATGGAGGGGAGGACTTTGCCAGTCAGGTCACACGCACCTTGGACTCCCTACAAGGCTGCAATGAGAAGTCTGGGATGGACCTCACACCAGGTAAGAATGGGAGAAGGGATGGGCCCATTTAGTCCTTGCTCAGATAGCCAATGAGTAGGTAGGAGTAGGTGGCCAACAGCTAATTCATAGCAAAACATACTAATGCCTGTCCTCAGGTGGGCAAAAATAACCTGTTCTGTGGACCCCACCCCAGCTGAGAAGCTATTAGCCATTAATGGCTTATGGGAGAAGAAAAACCAGTTTTCTTCATGAGTGTGAACCCTGGTAGGTTGCCTGTGCTCCAGTGGACAGTCCTATACCCACCTACATACAGGCAAGCACCAACTGGACTTAGTGGGATATAAAAAACTCTATTAAAAGTACTTTAAATTACGATGGCATTACGTGTTGGGGAGAATACAGGAGAACTAAGAATGGGACACGAGGGGTGGGTTTGATCAAAATACATTGTGTTAATTTATGAAATTCTCAGATTAATAATAAAAACTCCAGCCTTTTTCTTAGATAGCTGTACTGGTTTTCTAATCCACAAAATAAGAAACATATTATTAGTATTAGTTGGGTTCATTTCCACCCAGCACTGGAAGCAGAAAGACACCTTTATGTGTAGTAAAAGTGTATACTGAGAAACCCCTTAGGAAGTGAGGTAGTGGCAGGGGAAACCAACCTGACTTGACTTCTTTGTATATCACATATTTGCACAGGTATCTTAATTCTTTAGTGACATGGGGGGTCCTCAGCTACCCATTTTTTTGGTTTGGTTGGAGTTTTTGGTTGGTTTTGCTTTTCTCTCTGCCTCCTTAGGTGTGGGCCTGAGTTCCCCAATTACATTATCTGGACCCTGCTTCTGTGGTCTCTACACAGGATGTGTTTTTTTTTTTTTAAAGAAAATGGAAGAATGCAATCAAAGCATCAGATCTTAGATACTAGAACTATCAATGGAGACAGTGGATAGAAGAGCCATGGCCCTAATCCAACAGAACAAGATCAGGGTCAAAGACATGCAGAGAGGGAGGAACTGTTCTTTTATGGTAGCCCACCTCGCTCTCTTTCAAACTTCTATGAATAAGTACATCTTGAAAGGAAGTGCCTCAACAGTGGTCCTTCAAGGCACTGTCCAGCACCTTCTTCTTTGAGGAAGACACATCTGATACTGCATACTGCTAAAGATGCACAGACTTTGGAAGAAGCTGCAAAGGTTAAAATCACATAGCAGGAAATGGAAATTCTATTTATCTAGAAGATGACCTTTATCAATAATCATTTCCTAGTACGATTTAAAGTCTGAGAACTCCAGTGTTTGAGAACTTTGAAGTCTGAGAATAAGAAGGAGGATTCTTCAACATGTATCATATTCCCCACAGGGCTGGACATAGTAGCAAGGTCATGAAATAGACATAGTGTACTTGGGGAGGGGGGTTCAAACCCAAACTCCTATAGAGAACAGACAGCTCACACAAATCCATATAGTAGCTCGAGTTCAATCAACAGGCAATGGTGAAGACTGTGACGAAAAAGAGGCCACCTTCCGTCTGAAGACACATAGATTCTATTTCTGCTAAAACCCTGTGTTGGCCAGAAGGAAAAACCCCACATTCTGCATTTAGCCAAAGGCTGGTAGGCAGTGACATTATCAATACAGAATTAGCTAAATTGGATTTTCAATTGTAATCCTCTTACTTCACTCCTCCTGCAACATTGTAGCCCCTAGAAAGCAGAGAGGAGCTTCTTAGCATCCACCAAACTCTCACTTTACATGCTCCTCATTTCAATGCCCTGGACCACTCTATTCAGCCCATGAAGATTTTCTCACTCTCCTTCATATTTTGCCTATTCTCTGACTTTTTTTTCTTTGTCTTGACTTTTCCTTATACAGGAAGTGATAATGCCAAGCTGTCCCTGATGAACAAGTATAAAGATAACATCATAGCCACGAGCCCCGTGGACTCCAACCACCAGCAAGCCACTCTGTTGTCCCACACATCCAGTAGCCAGAGAAAGAGGATCAACAACAAAGCAAGAGGTAGCCATGCTTGGTTCTAAGTCTCAAAGATGGGTTCCAGCATGTGGGTAGTGGCAGGGTCATTAAATCAGCTATACATACTGTCACACATAGCTACAGTGGGAGGCCAGATAAAAGCTATTTGCCCCAAAATGTAAGAGTGGAAACCTTTTGATTAAGTACCTTCATGAATGCAAATAGTTCCTAGGATCTGATTGAACAAGTGTGCAAAGATGTGTGCAAATGGCTGTTTGTCACATTCAAGCAAGCTAAAAATTGGAAATGGTTTAGATGCCCACCAACAGGGAATTGGTTAACTATCTGGCACATCTGCCTAATGTCCAGTGACTTAGCATGAAGTCATTTAAAACGATCGTATAGATCTTTATTTGTTAATATGGAAAGTTGCCTGCCCGTCTATTCAATTGGGAAAATGAGGTTATAATGAAGGCATGGCACAATTCCATTTTAAAGGGAGATTAAAAACCCTTTACCTGTTTCAGTATCAGAAAAGGACAGAGGGTACATACATCAAATGACCAAAGAATATGCCTATGCTTTAGAGGGCTTGAAGGACATGTCCCCTACACATATGACTTATTACTTATTCTTTATATATATATACATATATATACATGTATATATGCATATATATAAATATATAGAATAATATATAATCAATAAATAAATAATCAATAAATAAAAACTCAGAAGTTTAATGTCTTTCCTGCTTTGACATAATTCTATTCTCCTATTAACCTGAATGGAACATTTCCCTTTCTTTCTTCTCCACTCCTGACCTCTGAAAGTCCTTTCTGACAAGCAGATGCCAGATGAGTCTCTCATCGTGGAGCCATGTTGTGTGTGGAGATTGGGGTGTTATCAATTGCTCTCATAAATGTTTGCTTCCCCAACAAACCTAGATATCGAGAAGCCCTAGCCCCTCAGCTACCTCTTCCCACATTGTCTATCAACCACTTTTATTTTTATTGATTTTCCAATTAGACCTCAGCCTACGATTCTGCATCATGAAAAGTGAAAATGTCTACTCTGGTTCTCTATTCATTTCAGCTGGTTCGGCCTTCTTGAACCCTGAAGGGGACTCTGGCACGGAGGCAGAAAATGACCCACAACTGACCTTTTACACTGACCCCTCTCGGAGCCGGAGGCGCAGTCGAGGTAGGATTGATGGGAAGGAGTGTGATACAGGTGGGGAAGGCAGGGGCCACAGAGGGCTCTGTGCACGGGAGCCAACTTCACCAGGAAGAATGCTTGGATCGCAGCTGATGCTTTCTCCCAGGAAGAAAGAAGAGTCTAGAGTTCGGTGAGAGCGAGAATCATCTCTCCCAGATAATGGCACTCTCAAACAAGTTTCCAAGTTGTTTGAAAGGCTGTTTCTTGGTCAGAAGACTCTCAATTCCTTCTGGAAGACTCAGCAGTTATATTTTGCTATTCGGACAAATGAAGTGGATGAAGCATGTTTAGTGAATAATATGTGTATTCGTCATCAATTCAGCTTCATTGGCCTTGGGATTGAGCTAGGCTGGGATAGGCAGGCATAACAGGTGAGGAATTACCTAGGAGTTGACAATACATAGTTTTCTTCAGCCTTTAAGTCTTTACTCAGTAGAATTTTGAGACCTAAGCCTCCAGACTCCTCTTTTCTCCGGGCTCAGTTTAAGAAACTAATTTGGTCTTTGCATCGACACAGCTGTGCTTCCGTGTAGCCTCTGATGTACTGCTGCAGGCTCATCTTTAGTGACTTCAGATATGAACCCTGGTGCTCTAGGCACCACTGTCCACGACTTTCCTGGCATTGATTGTCATTAACTCTGAGGGAGCTCTGCAGCCAAACACAAGCTTCAGCATCAACTCATTGTGTGGTGTTGCATGAGGACATAGTTCCTCTGAGCATCAGTTCTTGCACATATTGAATGACTTACTAATAACACATACACACGGCTTCTGTGAGGATTACATCCTTTATTTGTTTTGGCAATGGATAAAGTATATGAAATCACCATTGCTGCTCTCAGATCTTTCCAATTATAGCCTACAGTGTTTACAGAACCCCATCTTGGAATATGTTGAACTCCTTGAGATAGTGTGGAGGGCATATGAATGGCATCGACTGTGCCCACTTTGTGTGGACAGAACTCAGTACCATTTCTGACGAATACCTAACCAGTAGCTTTCAGAACATACACATGTTGGCTGAGTCCTACCTCTATTCAAATTCTCTTTACACAGAATTCATTCTTCCCAGAAACTGCAAGGCAGAAGCATTTTCACTCTGTATTCCAGTGTCTGTAGGCTTCCCAGTCTGTATCATTTAAATTTTTCTTGCTATTGTGTTTTTTTTTTTTTTTTTCTGAAGAGCCATTGGGGCTCTTCATTGTCTAACTGTAAATGTTTCGTTTTTCCTAAAGTGAGAATGTGGATGACAGCATCCCCCTCTCCTTTGAGCCTCAAAACATTTTATAGAACAGATATACAATCTAGGTTGTATCAAAGTAGGTTGTATCTTGCTTTAATAAAGTCTTATTTGAGAAAACCCTTGGTAATGAGTTAGTTGCTTTACAGCATAAAATGATTTGTTTCTTTAAATTCTAAGCCCCTGTAATGCATCACCTGTCTACTGCTATTAACTAAACTGTAAGTGGCTCAGGGGTGGAGCATTCCTAATTATTTTTTCAAAGTGCCTACAAAAGGATTTTGCCTATAATATATGTGTGTAAGTGTCTGCTTAATTGGACTGGATACATCAATCAGACCAGTAAAAACATCTTATAACCTACTTCCTATGGGTCAGCCTCTATGATAGGTAGTGGAAACATGAAAACATGACACAATGATAAGGCTTCATCTAATAATATAAATAAATAAAATGAGTACTCAGAAGCGATAACACTTAATTCTACATGGCAGCAATAGGAGGCAATAAAGAAGAATTAGAACTGAAATATAGGCAATGCATAGAATGTCTTGAAAAAGAAGTCTTGGTTAGGAACATTTCAGTAGAAGAATGTAGTACATAAAAGGCTCTGAGGACACAAAGAAATGTGGTTGTCAAGGAAGTGAGGGAGATGGCAGCTCTAGCCAGGATATAAACATAAACATGTAAGGGAAGGTGGGGGCTGGGGAGGGGAAGCAGAGAATAAGCTAACCACCAAAGCAAAAACCTGCCATGCTATTGCAATTGCACTTGCTTCTGTAAATAAATAGGAAACCATTGGAAAATTTGAAGGCAGGCAGGGATGCTAGATTGTGGGTTGATGATGCACACAGAGGCAAGGGACAAAAATATCGGTTTCAACTTATTGCAATCACAGGAGAACAGTGGCAAGTGCCTGCAAACAGTGATGACATTGTGTGATAAGAGCTGTAACAGCAGGGTGCACTGAGGGCTAGAGGAACAAGGATGAGTGAGAATCTGTTCTTGAAGGTTTCAGGGAAGTGTTTTCAGGAAGCTATTGTTTGAGCTGAGTCTTGAAGAGTAGGTGTGGACTGGGATGACAAGGTGACAAAGTGGCCTTCTGTGAAGGAGGAGATAATATGTGCAAAGTCACTGGCATGGAAGAGATGGTCTAGTGAGAAAGCTGAAAAATAGTTTACAACAGTGAAGTCTAGGGTGCATTTTTGTGGGTTGTATTGGGAAGAAAGCTAAAGGGTCAGCAGAATCCAGGAAGATGTGACACAGTTGTGATTGTAAAGGCCTTGGATCTGCTGTGTTATCTCAGTTGTGCTATGTGGAGGTCTCCTCTTGAGGCAGTATAGATGCTAGCTAAGAGCCAGGGAGTGAGTCTGTGAGTACAACAGAGGTACTACCAGAATCCTAATGTAAGACTAGAGAATGAAGGTGAAATTTTAAAGAAAATGAAAAAACAACCACAATTAAAGGCGTTGGTGGTAAGAAAGAAAGTGTGTCCTGTAAGCAAGCTGGGAGAGAGCTACACATAATGGAGTTGTTTGAATTGAGAAACTGACCAATGGCAGAGCCATATCCTGATCAATGGAACTAGGACAGGAAGCTGGGTTTTGAGAAAAGTGATAGGTGTAGTTGGGGTATGTGGGATTTTAGAGCCAGCAGGTGTTCTGCTGGTGGGTCTGCTACCTAGGCTGGGCTGGGAGGATCTTTAAGTGTGAGGAAATGGATATCCATGCCTTAAAGATGCCAGTGAGAATAGTACCTCACCAACTTATAAACGCCAGAGGCTATTTGCAGCCTCTGTATCTCATCCTCCTAACAGCCCTCCCCACAGTCCCTCAAGAGACCCCACACACTGACATGTGGGTGGTCATGGCCCCCAAACTCATCCCAGTGTTTCCTGAGAGCAGCAGTTCCCAAAGCTCTGTCCTTTGTAGAGGCTTGGCTCTGACTACACTCTGCAGCCTCTTGTGATAGCTGCTTCATGATGCCTCAATTGTTATTCAGTGATGTGAGCCATGTGGAACTCTGAGCACAGACACCTGACACATAATGACCATTACACAAGTGTGAGCTGTCACAATTAGGACCATCTCTTTGAGACTTATTTCCCTCTTTGGCAAAGTAGATAGTCACTCTGCAGGTTCACAGGTGTGTGTTATGAACAGACAAGTATGTAAAAGGAAATAATGTACAGAGATGCTTTGCAGTTTCCTCCCATAATTGGACTTACATTACTATTAATAAGAAGTATTAGCATAAATAAGAAAATTCCAGAAGAACTATACATTCCATTGCCTTGCTTTCTCACCCTCCCACCTGTATCCCACCCCCAAGTAAAAGATCCCTCTGCTTATCACCACTTCATCCAAAAGCAAGATAAAATTCAGCCCCTCAAATGAGCACAACAAGTTCTTCCTTTACCGTTCCTTCCAGTGTTGTCTGAACTGAGGGGAGGATTCTGGTGTAACAGCATCATTTGCTCACCCATTGAACAGGTACAAGCTCTTCTAGTGAGGGACGCTCCTCCTGGAAGTCTGGGTTTACCTTGTGTGAGCATGGCCTCTGTGAACAGCCATGGGACTGTATTGCAGAATCAAACAATTTTGCTTCTAAGAGTTTGGAACTCAGTTAGGGAAGGAGAGGAGAAATGACTTCTTGTGACCCTGACCCAGTCAAATCGCAGAGAATCTTCACTCATCTAACCACTACTGACCTGGAGGGCCACCGGCTGGCCAAATCCACTTCCACTTCAGCAGGCATTGTCCCCAGTGAAGCTTCCTGAGGTCACATAGCAGAGATGTCTTCTTATTGCTGTGGGTTAGGTTAGGTTTGTCAGGCACCTCCCTTGTTTGCCAGTAGAAGGCCAAGTTGGACAGTCAGTGCCTGGATGTTTACCACCATGTCTTGTTTTTGTCTTGCTTTCAGTGGGCTCTCCCCGAAGTCCTGTGAATAAGACCACCTTGACCTTGATCAGCGTCACCAGCTGTGTGATTGGCCTGGTGTGCTCCTCTCATGTCAGCTGCCCTCTTGTTGTCAAAATCACCCTACATGTCCCTGAGCACCTGATTGCTGATGGTGAGCTCATTCTGCCAAGAAGGCAACTGCTTCTTCAGTAATAGGCAGTTGTTAGGCTGGGCAAGAAACAGAAACAACAAGGGTCACTCTCGTGGTGAGGGGGGATATGCCCCAAAAAGAAAGAGGGAGTTTACAGTTAGATGGTTCACAGATGACCTAAGAAATGGGGCTAATAACAAACTGAATGGGTCATCTCCATTTCTCTGGGACCGTTCTCTTTCTATAAATAGAGAAATGCAAAGCACGCTGACTACAGCGGGGTAGACATCACAGCCCTTTAGTATTTGAGGAAGGAAAAACTAAACGGGGCAGTAGAGGTGTTTAAGGATCAGCCATGCTTTGGCTTGCTTTGCCCAGGTGAGAGATTACCAACTGCATTAACTTGCTAATAGACCTAGACCTCAAAAGCAACAATTTACCTTCATATAGGAGAACCCCAATATAATGAGGGAGTACCATAGTTTCCAAGAGTCCCTGAATCATTTAAGCCCACAGCACCTAATTTGACTTGTTAACGTCTGTTCTCTGGGTTGCTGCAAGGCTGGAAACAGGTGGGGAATGTTCACAGCATTAGAGGACCTGCTATTTCATGGCAAGTAAAGACAGTCAATGGGTTCCTGTTACCTGGCCCAGTGCCAAGGCCTTGTGGCTAGGTCTGATGGAGCCATGCCATGGTCGCCCCAGAGCCACTCTGCCCTTCTATCCCCTTGGGAACACTGCAGCAATATGGGATGAGGCATGGCAGTAGGCGATGATATAGCTGAAAGGTTTAATGTCCTTGGCTCCACAGCAGTCATTGTGATGGCAGAACCGCCATCTGCCAATCCCTCTTGCTAGTACTAATAGTAGGCTAGGACTGGCGAGTGTAATGATCCTGGATTAGGATGTGCTCTGTCTCTGGTGGCTTGTGCCCATGATTTGCGTGTGCATGTGTGCATCCACTGACATGTTTCTTCTATGTCCCCCTGTAGGAAGCCGCTTCATCCTCTTGGAGGGGAGCCAGCTGGATGCCAGTGACTGGTTGAACCCTGCCCAAGTGATTCTCTTCTCTCAGCAGAACTCCAGTGGGCCCTGGGCCATGGACCTCTGTGCCCGACGGCTCCTGGACCCTTGTGAACACCAATGTGACCCCGAAACTGGTAGGCGGGAGCACCGGGAAGCGGGTAACTGTCAGAGAGAGCATGCCTTTTGCAATCACTCCCTTGAAATTCAAACCATTTCTCCCAACTCCACTGTCCCCTTTCCACTTCACGCATAGACCACCCTTGGATATCACCATGTGGTTGAGCCACTGGGCATACAAAACATGCAATAGTCTGACAGGAGCCTGGACATGATCTTGCATTGCAACCTTCCTCCAGAAAGGCCCATCTTATCATTGTCTGGCTACTAGGGCTAGCCATTTTATACTTGGAAAATTAATTCATGTTTACCATAAAATATATTATAGAGGAAAATGATGATTATCTGTATTTCTGTCTCCTAGACAAATCGCTTTAAGACTTTTCATGCCCTTTCTCTCCATCACTAGTCTATGCATGTTTTCCTTTAAAAAGATTTCCTGGAAGCATAGGAAGTCTAGTTGAGTTTTCCTGAATTTGTTTCTTTAATACTCTATCATAAGAATTTTCCATAATCATAATCCTCAGTAACATTCTCATGTTCATTTGTAGCTGCATTCGACATCTGTATCATAGCTCAATTAAACAGTCGCCACTTTGAATTCAGACGGCTCTAAATTGTTTATTTTTTAAATACTATTAGAACAAACCTCTCCACAAAGAAATGCAGGGCCCTTGGGAGTTTATTTTTCTTACAATGAATCTCAGAGATGGATCACTACACAAAGGCTGCAAACATATTTAATTGTGTTACTCTATCCAGCAAGACAAGGGTACTTCTGAGTAGGGCCCAGATTCAGGCGCTGTGAAGTGCCTTACCCTGGAGCACTGCATGCTCAGGAGTCTCTGTGACAGATAGATGAACACTTTTGTGGCAGGAAAGGTGTTTACTCTTCTTGTTAACATGGCAGAATATCTACGAGAAACAACTTAGAGGATGAGGATCTATGTTAGCTCATGGTTGAAGGAAACAGTCCGCAGAGACAGGGAAGGCATGGTATATGGGGTTTTACCTGTGTGGTGGGAAGTGGTGGCAGGCTTATTACATCTTTATGGACCACGAACCAGAGGGCTCTAGCTGGAAGTGGACCTAACACAGAATCTTTAAACCTTACATCTACTCCTATTGCCTTACACCTGCCAGCTAATCCTCATGTCCAAAAGTTTCCACAGCCTTCCAGTGCCACCAGCTGGGGACCAAGTATTCAAACACATAGACAAAGTCTCACAACAAGCCATAAGAATTTCATATATAGTAGCCTCTACAAAAGGGCCATTTTCAGGAGCTAGAATATCACAGGTGAAATCTTTCTGGAGAAGTAGTGTAATACTATAGAATAAAGGAAAGAGTCCGTGAGCCAAATCCTCAAGATTTTTGTCTATCTTGTGTAACTCCAGAGAGAGAGAAAGGCAGGGTGTTCAGCATGTTTGTTCCACAGATGTGGCCTAAGATACCCAACGTGCATTTTGTGGTAATCCATTACTAAATCTCTTCGAGAAAGTAGCAGGTAACTGTGACATCTAAAGTTCATGTGCTTAGGTTTGAAACTTATTTTTACGTGGGCCCTTGACAGAGATTCTAGGTCCCCATATGGAGGAGAAAGTACAACACTTTCAACATCTGATGTCTAAGACGGTGCTTACTTGCCGTCCCTCCTACGCTGTCAGGCAAACACCAAACCAAACAGATGGGCTGTGCACCATGCCCAAAAGCTAGTGTGCTTGGAAGAAATTAAAAAGAGCTCATCTCAGAGGTGGGAACTCTCTATGTAGCAGAACTGGTCTCTGGTACCCTTGTTCTCCAGCTGGTCAGGATTAGGAGGATTTGGGACAATCTTAGCTGTTAAACTCACTTCTGAGAGCAACAAGATCTCCAGAGGATCTCACATGCTTCTTCTTGGCTTTGAACGAAAAAGAAGGGCCTACAATTACACATTGAAAGGAGGGGACTGGGTATTTTGCACTTGGGAGGGTTAGGCAAGAATTGCCTTCTTACTTTAACTGATGTTTGATTATCTGGACCTGATTGGTCTGATGGCTACCTATAAGGAGAGTTTGTCTTTATGAAATCAGAGAAGAAATAAGGTTGTCAAAGGTAACATGATATGTCTAGGTATGCCCAATCCAACATATTTGTCACTCAACTGTTTAGAAGGAAACCTGTATTGAGCATTCTTGTTGGGTGTGCCGGGAAGCTGGTTGTCTGCACAGAAGTCTTCCTGTCTACTCTTCAGCCCCTTCCAGATGTCTAATATCTAATCCTCCCTACAAAATGGGAAACCCCTCTCCTGTAAATGGTTTCCTGGTATTTGTAATAACTAATAAATTTGCAACTGTAAAGTCATAGGGATACTAAAAATAAGAACCCAAGTTCTGCAACAGAACTAAGGTAGAACATCTTCATTTGGTGTAGCAACTGAGAAATGATGCTGTGGAGCCTTTCATTTTCATTAATGCTGGGATTGGACCCCTCCGCCTGTGCTGCTTCTCTCTGCACATGGGATGATGTGGTCATCCCACACGCTCATCACTAAGAAACTTTATCGCCTCCCACACTCCACCCTAGAGCCTTTCTCCAAAGAACTGAGTGTGGGAATTGGCTTCAAGTCAAGTCGACGTTATTTTTTGCAATCCTCCAGCTAGCTCCCTTGGAAATGTCAGAGTGTTGGGACATGTGCTTTCCCAGCCGAGCTGAGGGGTCTGCCCATATGGATTCATGGGGCTGTGCAAACGCACTTGTGTATTTTTTTCACGCAGACACACGTACCCATAAACACACAAGCACACAAACACAGATGCTCATGCACTGGGAAGGAGCAGCCTTTGGTGCCTGGAGCTCTCCTTAGGCAGCCTTCCTAAAGTGTCCCAAAGCTAAGGGTGTATTTACACATTGTCTGCACAGTACTCACAATACCAGGTGTGTGAGAGAGAAACATGCACTCACTCCGCCAGATGTCCACATCCTCCTTTCCACAATGTGTAGATGCGTGATATTGTATGGCAAAGGAAGGCAAGATGGTATGTAGAATTAAGGTTGTCTAACAATTAGTGTTACAAAACCAAGATTACCATAGCTTATCTGGGTGTCCCAATTCAATGACAATACTTCTCAAAGGTAGAAGGGAGAATAGGTCAAAGTACCATGATGAAATAATGATTCATCAAGGTATTGTATACTTTGAAGATGAAGTCATGAGACAGGCGTGTGGACAGCCTTTAGAAGAGGGAAAGGCAAGGGAGCAGAGTCTCACTTACAGCCTCTAGAAAGGAGCCTAGCTCTGTAGAGACTTACTCTGTAGGCACTTTGATCTTAGCCCCACAGAACTCATATTGGTCCCTTCTGGCCTATAAAGGCATGACACAGTAGACTGATATTACTTCAGACATTTCAGTTTGAGATCAGCTACAAATATACCAAAGGAAGGACAAAAGAGCTGAAGGAGAGAAATGGGTCGTATTCCACTCTTCCTATACCCCCATCATAATCTCAGAACTCCTAAAGATGTGTGAAGGTCTATGAAAGAACCAGAGATATAGGGAACTTGCTGGATTATTTCAGGTCCAGTTTATTGTATTCTGACGCCATGTTACCTGTGGGGGATGGAGCTCAGACACCAGCCTGGACAATAGTAAATTGTCACTGGCAAATGTTCTTATAGTCATTCCATCTCCTCAGACCTTCTGGTTATATGTGGGTGTTCTTGAGAAAGGAGAGACAAGACATTTGTATCTGCCATTTGCAGTCTTTGGTGAGCACTGTCATGCTCCCCTAGCAGGTATCAACATATGACGAGTCAGACCTAGTACCGGGCTATGGGAAGATTTAGGAAGTTTTTTTTTTTTTTTTTTTTTGTTTTTTTTAAAAGGGGTTTTTTCTTGTGTTTTTGGGACTTTCCCTGCCCCTCGTGAGTGCTGGGATTAAAGGCGTGTGCCACCAATGTCCAGCTTTAGGATGCTTTTAAGTTAGGTTCAGGCTGCTGAGGACACCGCACAACAGACTGTGGTCCATCTCCCCCTGCTTTGTAATGACAGGTGGAAAATGATTTTGGTAAAAATAATAATAATAATAATGCTAGGCAGTGTTTATCAAGAGCTCACCATGTTATTGTCACCGAGCTTAGACAATCAAAGCTCCCTCACAACCCTACAATGTAGGCAGTATTTTTATCTCCACTTTAGAGAGATGTTGACAAACTGGCTTAATACCACTGCCTAGTTAATGGTCCAGGTGGACTGTAAGCACAGGGTGCATGATATACCAGAATTCACATGTCTGGTAATTTTGTGATGTTTCTGGTCATGTTGCCCTTCTGGAAGGGAACCTAGATGGTAGGCTTAGGGTTGTTTTCTTTCCTTCTGGTGGCTGTTGAAAGCCTCAGTTTCTGATGAGGCCTTTGGCCAACTGCCAATCTTCTTGCCCACCCTGCCAGTCTGGCCGCTCAGAAGCATCTCTGGTTGAGTTGGGATAATCACAAAGCATTAAGGGCTGTCTACTGGATCCTGTCATAGGCTGACTTTTCCTATGATTTCTAAGGGGAATGCTTTGTGGTTGTTTGTTTTTGTTTTGTTTTCTGATGGCAGAACTACCTACTTGCATCGGCTTTTCTCATTGCTCATTCGAAGCCTCTGTTCTGCCATATGAGAAGTGGTGGAAGCCTGAGACACCTGCTTCATTCCTCAGTCACATCAATTCTGACCACAGCCTCCATTGCCTTTTTCAAGCTATGTAGTTTTTTTTTTTTTTTTTTTTTTGTTTGTCTGCAGGGAGCATGGGCATCCATGAAAACTCACACCCGAATGTTTTAATATCCTTCTAATATGTTCTCAGCAAATCCACACCTTCCCAGATCTTTCTATGCGCAGCACAAACAGGTCAAAATGTTTCAGCCTGCAGAGGGCCATGGACCAGGTTTCCAGGCAATTCAGCCTCAACCTCTGTATTCGCTCTGAGCCACTCTGCACTCCATCTCTCTGTCTCTGTCATTGGGCATTTTAAACCCAGTTAATCAGGAGAGCTCCATCCCCGTTTTGTTTTTGTAATGTAGATTGTATACTCTTTCTTTCGCAGTTCACTTCTGTAACTCCAGCACCTTCTTCCTTCAGAGTGAGCATTAGCATGCCCCCTGTCCTCTCCCTCAAAGTTTCCTGGGGGGTCATTCAACCCTGGGCCTGCCTCTTTTCTGCTAACTCCCAGGGGTGGGGAATTGTGAGGCAGTTTTTTATTATCCGTGTCCAGACGAACATTTCTCTTTTCAGACAAGGGACAGCCAGTGCTATTTAATAAAAGCCAACCACTTATTGAAGCAGTGTGATGATTCAGGGCTTTTGGCTTTGTGTGGTTTTATAATGAAAGAAACTTGTGGTGAGCCCAGTCAAATCTGAGGAACCCTAGCTTCAAGGTCTTTCTTAATCCTCATATGTGATTTGTGACTCAATCCTTCAACTATAGAATGGGAAATGAGCAAAGTCTCCATCTGTTCATCATGAAAGGTGGCTCAAGGTATTTGTCCTCAAGGTACCAAGCAAAAGTAGGTAGAGAGGTCTCTATCCCTTGCACCAACAACTTGCAGAGGGCTTTCTTCCTTGAGAGTGCGAGCCACAGAATATCTCCTGCAGCCACTGTGGCATGTTACACTCTCCTGGTTGGACACTTCTTCGTGGCCATGACATGTCTTTCTGTTGGATTCCTACGTACACCACCACAGAGTCAGCGCCTCATGTGTTCCCTGCCATCTGTCACAGCAGATGCGGAGACTGTAACACTTCGGCTTAGGAGGGCATCCAACACCCTTGTGGGGTCTTTAAAATTCACAGCTAACAGTCGGAGTCTGTGCTTACATGAAACCCCTCTTAAAGTCAAGATTTAGCAGTTGGTTTCCATAGTAACTTTCCTCATCAAGTCTGAACTCCTTGCAGTATAGATGGCCAAACTGGTTTAGGAGGAATAAAAGAAGAGGGAAGTTTGGTGGATTCCAGAAATGAGGCTCTATTGAGAGGCAGATTTTGGATTTCCCCAAACTCTAGCCTGTTATGTTTGAAAATTCCTGATTCTCTGACTTTGGGTGGCATATGCCATTTTATGGGGAAAAGCTTTATCTGTTGTCAGCAGTGTGTCCCCACATGGTAATAAGTGATGGAAGCCTCATGTGGAGATAATGACCATGGAGGCAATTTGAGAAGGTAAATGCACTGTACAAATGGTAGGTATTTACGTCATTAGGAAAATAGGTCTCTGCTTGAACTCAGAGTTGTTACTGAATTTATTTTTACATGTTTTGTGGTAACCAGATATCAAATGTAGAAGAAGCTACTCTTTTATCATTAATCCTTAGTTCTAAAGAAGGTGTCCAGCTGGGACTATTCTGGTTTTGTGTTCTTGTTTTTGAGTCAGAGTCTCATATAGCCTGGGCTGGCCCTAGAGTCACTTTGTATGTAGCTGAGGAGGACCTTGAGCTTTCAAGCCTTCTGCCTCTACTTCCCCAGTGCTGGGATTACAGGCATTCTCTACCGTGCCTATTTTGTGTGGCGCCAGGGATGGAACACAAGGCCTTGTACATGCTAAGCATGTACTCAACCAATGAGCTGCCTGCCCAGCTCCAGTTGAGACCATTCTGGGAAACAGAATGTGGTACTTGACACTCTTATGAGCACACTCTCTTTCTTAGCATCCTATTCAAGTCTATTTGGCAACAAGGACCATCAGAAGAGTATATTTCCCCAGGAAGAGATACATTTGAGCATCTAACACATCAATTGACTTAGATAACTTCATATTTGGGAGTGTTACTATCTATAAACCAATCCAATCTTTCTTTCCTTTTTTTCCTTTTTGTGTATGTGTGATACATCCTGTGTGTGCACATGTATGCAGGTATGTCTATGGGTGTGCATTGGAAGTCTAGAGATCAATTTCAGCTATCTTCTATTATTGTTATCTATACCTTTTCTTTTAATTGATACTTTAGCTGAATCTGATAGAGTTTTCTAATCTCACCTGTCTTCACCTCAAGAGCTAGGTTTACGAGTACACACTGCCATGACTGATTTTCATATGGCTGCTGGGGGATCCAAACTCAGGTCTTTATACTTGGGCAATAAACACTTTACAAATGAGCCATATTCCCAGTCTAAATATTTTAATGATTTAACTCTGAACCATAGTATGATGGTTAATATTGACTGTCAAGCCTGGCAGTGGTGGCACACACCTTTAATCCCAGAACTCTGGAGGCAGAGGCAGGGAGGCAGGCAGATCTCTCTTAGTTCAAGACCAGCCTGGTTTGCAAGAGCTAGTTCCAGGACAGCCTCTAAAGCCACAGAGAAACCCTGTCTCAAAAACCCAATATATATATATTGACTGTCAACTTTACAAGATCTAGAATCTAGAATCATGGAAGAAACAAGTCTCTGAGTACATCTAGAGGGGCTTATTTAGATTAGGATAACTGAAGTGAGAAGACCTGTCATCATTCACAAATACACATACACACACACACACACACACACACACACACACACACTCAGGTACTGTTCCATGGGCTAGCATCCTGGACTGCATCCAAAGCATAAGGCTAGCTGACTACCAGCATTCTTTGTCCTTTGCTTCTTGATTGTAGATGCAACCTTCCTGCCACTGTGATGGACTGTATGGATGAGCCAAAATAACTCTTGCCTACTATTTGTCACAATGCAGGACAAGTCATTAATGCCCACAGTATTTATGACAAGCCTACCTATTTGTGGAGATCAACCTTATCTTTGCCCTGTATACTTTACAGTTTGGGGTTGTGCTTTCTTTAGAATTCTTAAGGCATAAAGCCTTATTCTCCTTTTATTTTGCTTTTCAAATCTTAGAAACTGCTTTTTATATCTTATTTATCTTTCCTTTTATCAAAAAGCGGCCATCATTGGCAGATTTTTATCACCAGCCACCTAATTTCAAGCCATATTTTCTGACGCTTCACTTTAATTTCCGTGGCCATTTGTAGCTTTAACCCAGTACCAGTGGCGGTAATAAATTTGGACCTAAAGTGAGTTCATAGGTTCCAATATAGCCAGCCATACTAAAGTCAGAATTTGTCATACATAAAACAATGTACTCTTTAGATTTATCTAAAACTAAGTTCACTGCCCCCACTAGTACATTGAGTTGAGTGTTTTGGGGATGGAGGTTAAGTGACTATTATTTGGTATGGGACCCTGAGAGGCAACAGCTTCTAGGTAAATCTTAAAATGCATGAGCTAAATTTTTAAACAAAAAGTGTCCTGCTCCCACTGTTCAGACTCTCCTCCCCTATCACATATATTCTCTCCATTTTTATTAAGTTTTATCTTCATAAAGAGGAAATAGCATTTAAAACTGTTTTTCTATTTATACTCATCTTAAGTGCCTCTTCCTTGGGAGATAAATAAACTGTATGCATATTGTCTCCTCAGGATTTGGCACCTTTGTAAATTTGTTATATACTAATTTCAAGAAATCACACTTTGTTATTTCACTGGTTATAAATTGAATAACCAGCCGTCAGAAGATTAAGAGCAGATGCTTTAGGGTAACATGTCACAGTGTCTCAGAGACAAGTAGTATTATATAGGAAAGCAGTCACATCAGGCAGCAACAGCTACTGTCTTCAGGATTGGTACTCAACAGAGCAATCGGCGCTAATCCTTTGGGATGTCTCAAGTTTGCTTTTTAACTGGATGAATGCCATGCAACCCTGCCTTAGAAAGGGTGAAATCCACAAATAGGTAATCTTGTATGCAATTCCAGAGGGTTGTTGGATCTTTGGTATGCAAAAATAAAACTACCAAAAGAACTTTCTGAAGAAGAGCAGGAAGATTCTGAACAATGCAGGGTGTAGGTGATCTTCCTTACTAGCTTCTAAAGATAACTAGACATTTTCACTAGGAAATGTAGTTCCTATAAAAACAGAAGAGAAGATTGTAACCTCCTTTAAATCCCATGGCAGTTCTGTGGACTCAGTGTGACATGATGATGGTGTTTCAAGTAACAGAGTCATAGGTTCAAGTACTAACCGTCATTTTTAAAAGGCTGACAAGTCTCATAACTTGTCCGAGTTTTGGCTTCCCTTTTCAGCATAATATAGTAACAGGACTTAGGCTTCAGATTCTTAGAAATACTTGAAATAGTTGACACATGCAGACTTTACACATTTACCCATCACTTACTAATTACCGTGTTATTAAGAAAACAGACATAAAATGTCCCCTTCCTCAAAGGTTTGATGGTCTTTGTGCATACAGCGCATATACACTAAGTGATTTGCAGATATTGGGATCTGTCAATGTATAAAGTCATGCATTGGAAAATGGGGAGATTCATTCATGAGGGCAGTGGAGAGGTGCTTGTGTGACACAGTGGGATGTATCCTATTATTTATGCTATTAATTAACTATCAAATACTGACATGGTGGTTGATTGACTTGTATTTCTCTTTTCCTCCTACCCTGATCCTAAGGGGAATGTCTGTGCTATGAAGGCTACATGAAGGATCCTGTCCACAAACACCTTTGCATTCGGAATGAATGGGGAACCAACCAGGGGTAAGTGGGATAACAACTTGGCAGTCACTGCTTTTTCACACAGACATGATGGGAACAACTGTGCACAAAGAAGTAGAGTCCATGGATGGTTGAATTCTTAACAGTCTGTAGTAAAAATGGCACTGTGTCTCTCCAGAGTCGCGTCATGTCAGTGACGTCCATGCCATTTATTCCTCCATCATGAGTCAGGAGACCATACCTCTGACTCGCAGCCCTGCAGCCTCCAGCTGGGATCTGCAGAAGAAGCTGTCTTTCCCCTCCTTTCCACTCCACATCCATCCATGAGAATTCCACAGGCAGAGCCTAGCTGGTGATTTTGTTGGAGACATGGGAAGCCACACAGATTCTGCTATAGCTCTCTGGGAGATTGATGAGTCCTTCCAGAGACTGACAAACATCAAAACATGTTGTCACCAATACTGTCAGCAGGGGTGACATGAGACTCAGGAAGTACTTTGTGCTGAGGAAGAATACTTGTACCTCATTCCCAGTTACTATATTTCTTTGTATGACTTTTCCTTTCCTGAAACTACATGTAACTGGGGGAAAGTATCTACTTTATCTATTGTTTATTATTATTTTTTACATTTTTCAAATGTTTTTGTTATAACATACATAGCATAAATTTACCATGCTAATAGGCTTTTAAGTCCATGATACAATGAAATTAAATAAACCTATATCATTAGGGAGCCATCACCATTATATGTCTTGTGTTGTGATTTTTAGGAGCTATTTTTGGGTTTTGTTTTGAATTCTGAGAGTTTGCTTTGTGCATTGGGCAAATGGTGAGAAGGATCAATAAATGTTAACTAATAATAGCAATCAATGGACTAGGGAGAATCAGATGGAAATCAGGAAAAAAATCTTAGTAAGTGATTTCCTAGACTGCAAATTAGATCTGTGTTTGCAGCCTGACAAGGTGAAAAAATAAATAAACCAATGTCATTTGTGACATTGCTAGAGATTCTCACTCCTGGGTCAATGATCAGCTCCTTCGACATGATTCTGATGAGACCAAATCTAGGTTGTTCAGTGTAGTCTTGAACCTTCAAAGCAGTAAATATGGTGACAAATGGCTGAGAGTTTGGAGAAGAGCGATAAAAATGATTGAGAGGCCTGAAGGAGTGATTTATGACAAGGGGAGAGAAAAACTCAACTCCTATGATTTAGCCAGCCAATGACTAGTCAAGGTTTGATAGATGCCCACAGACAAGGAAGAGGGCAAATGTTCTGGAACAAGTTGAAGTTGAGGGATAAGAACAAGAGTAAATGAAGTTAGGAAAAGGAAATCTGAGTCATGGGTCTGAAAAGTTCGGGAGGCCAAAATACCATGAAATTCTTGTGTTGGTGAGAATGAAGAAGGGCTTGATTTGAATGGCATTTGACCTTTTATCAGATAGGCAGTTCACAAATTTTCAAGGAAAGTGTTTGGTGAGAAGAGTAGAGGCCTTGGCTAATAGATGTTCAGTGAGGTATGAATATAGAATGACAGTCACTGTTTAAATTCCTCATTGTGCCCCAACTCTCATTGCTACTGAGTTGTTTGCACAGTTGGTGTGGAGCCAGCCCCTTAGCTTATGTGACGGCTGAGAATCTTAGCTGACCATGATTCTTACTGAGTAAAATGTTGTAAAAGGTGATGGATAACCACCTCTCTATCTCATAGCCTGCAATCTTGCCACTGAAGAAAACAACTAGAAAATATCATTTCACGTTTGCTCTAAATGATCCAGCCTAGCCCTCTGCAGTGATTGGATTTGGTGGTTAATCGCTCAAGCCTCCACATCCCTAGCCTCCCAGACATATCTTGTGAGGATGGGCCTGACTTCACTTGGTAATTGCAAAGCCTTTGTTATTCCCTATGGCTGGATGGAGAGACAGTCTTAGGATGCAGACAAGAGCCTCCGGGGAAATGGTAGAGGTCCCAGCACTAGTGTCATTTGGAGCAAGATAGACTAAAGCACTGAACTGCAGACTGACGAGAACATTAGCCCCAGGAAATAGACAAAGACACCTAATCTGTCATTTCCATCTCTAATTTCCATTATTTTATGATCGTCACTGTCTATGAGGTTGCATTGTGGACACTAATAAAATCATAGAACAACTGTTAGGAGGAGTGGGAGGAGTGAGTATCTTGAGGACATTGGAACAGGAGTGATAAGCAGCTCGAGCTTATATTTATAAAGCAATTCCAGACAAATGGGTACATTTCTCCTTCTGAAATAAAAAGATAGACTCCACGCATCATGATTTAAATCAGGGTACTGAACTAATGCCATGTTTCTTTAGATGATTTTCCCAAAATTAATCGAGATTGGTTTGACTGTAAAGAATGTCACTTGAATTGAAAACTGACAGATTTCCAAATAATGATACATATTACAGTGTTATGGAAAAATCAATGGTAAACCTTATTTTCCTGGAATTTTTATTTAGTGTTCCAGACCATGAAGGTGAGCAACCCATATAAGGGCTTCCTAACATTCTGATATGGCCTACATTAAGACTGCAGTGGGTTCATTCTAAACAGAAAAACCAAATCCAGGTCTGGTAATAGTTAAAGTCTTTTGTGAGAAATTAAGGCTGATATGCCAAAGAAAGGGGGCAAATAAAATGCATTTGTGACTTTCAGAAAAGGAAGAAAATTGATCACAGACATTCATACAAAAGTTACAAATGGGTGCTTCTTGAGGCAGGGGAATGCAGCTGAAACTTTATACAGTTGCTGCCTGCCTCTTACTCATACAGCCTTGTGTGTGTGTGTGTGTGTGTGTGTGTGTGTGTGTGTGTGTGTGTATGTGTGTGTGTGTTCACGCTCCCGGTGTCTGTGTAAATGTGTGTTATCTGTATGATTGTACGGTGTGTGAACATGTGTGCATGAATGAGACAGTTTGTCTATAGACTGGCTCTCTCACCACTGTGTTCTACCATTTACTCTTTAATTCATTCATGTTTTCAGCAAATGTTTACCCCATTAGTCTTCTGGAGAAGAATGTGCATGGTTGCTATGATTAAGAGTAAGGTAGAATTTCAGTTAAGAACTAATAGTCCACATAAGAACATGGGTATATAACAAATAATTTTAATGAGTTCCAAGACTTACCTCCCCCCAAAAAAACCAAACAAACAGAAGATTTTGAGTGAAGGTCAATGAGAGCATACTTAAGGGGTGACTTAGGTAAGGTTGAAGAACAGGAGAAGCCATATTTTTTTAGCTGTTTTGTTTGGTAGGTAGAGATATAAGTAACATGGGTTTCCAGGAATGGTAGGTAAGTAGCTCAATTTAGTTTTAAAATGTCTTGCACAAGGCTAGGAGAAAAAGCTACAATGGATAAAAGCTAGCTCTCAAAGATGTCTTGCTTACTGAAACCTTGAGCACTAAAACCCATTTAGAGGACCCTAGTACTAAAAGAGGGTAGGTCTTCAAAGGAGTTTTATTATCCTCTTCCTATACGATAATTTGGGAACTCAAATAATGGTTAAAACACACAACAACAACAACAACAAAACAAATTCAAAACCTACTGGAATTGTCTAGATTTTATTTATCTGGATTCTTCAAGTAAAATATATTCCTGAACCTGTCCTGTAGACAAACAGGAAAGTATGGCCAAGAATTAGAAAGCCTATGTCTAAAATCTATTAAAGAGTTGTGTTGCAGTAATTCTGGTACATCAGTCCTACCAGCAATGCCCAGGAGAAAGTAAATAGGTTGTGACATTCATGTATTGATCTACACAGTAAAGCGAGCTGCTCCAACTTGCACAGGTGAAGAGGTGCAGGTGAAAGTTTATAAAATAGTAGAATTGACTGCTTAAGAAGAAAATTTTCACTAAAAGTAAAAATTAGTTTCAGGACTATGTAAGGAAAGTTGTGGAAGACAGAAGTCTAATGGGTCACTCAAAGACATGGGGTGTCATATCTTTGGCCTTTGATGCTAGCAACAAAATCAAGCATTCCCTGTCATAACACTCTGTATCAGCCAATGGCCAGGGAGAGAAATCAGGGTTGGAGTTTCCTAACCAGTGCACAGGTGCAGTGTCTTCTGTCTTTCCTGTGGGAATTTTCCAGGTAATTCCTTGCCCTCCTATCACTGTGATTGAATGACAGCCAGTGCCTGTTAGAGTCTGCATTTGATATTTGTTTGCCAGGACAGCAAAGACAAATTGAAAATGTTCACAGATTAGAAATAAAAACAATAAATGAGGGTGGGAGAAGCAAGAGAGATTGATTTACATGACAATATCAGAGGAGGAAAGAGATGCCCAAATTTATTTAGATAATTCAGAGTTATTAAGAAAGGCCATAATAATAGCTTTTTGTTAAATTAAAAGTGTACTCAAGGGCCTCTAGATACATCTTTCAGAATACCACAATTAGATTAAATTCATGCTTTTGGAGATTCCTGGTAAATAATAGTCTGATTACTTATTCTGGCATCTCAGCTGCAGAGGGCAACACCAAGGAGATTCTCCAATAGAGAAATATAAACTATCTCTGGGCTTCAATGCTGAAGGGTAAAGACAGAGTGATAACTCATGAGATGGGGTAAGGCCTGCTGAGAGAAATGAGCAGGTGTTTTTTCAAAGGATGTAAAAGCTGTTGTCAGGAATGACCCTGCTCACAGAGTATTTCCTCTACCCATGGCTGCTGAGGGAGATAACACCTTCACAGGGCAATCTCAGATCCCAACTCACTAACTCATACATGGTCCATACTGCCTTAAAATGTCCTTGTCATTGTTCCAGGTGCTTATGTACTTCTGTTGCTGCAATGTCTTCATTCTTATTTACTCATTGGTTACAGCTTGTGCAGGAAATCCAATCTGATATGGATCAATATCCCATATAAACCCACAAAGTCCAGTATGTGTGTTTGTGTGTGTGTGTGTGTGTGTGTGTGTGTGTGTGTGTGTGTGTGTGTGTGTGTGTGTGTGATGGGTAGAGTGTATGTGCATATACACATGTATGTAAATGCACATAAAGGTCAAAGAT